TAAAAAGGGAACTTCGCGTTATCGGATCACGTTGAAAACTTTACCGTGAGCTCATCTGATATATCCACACATGCAGTAAAAATTTTAGCTCGATCTAACAAGCCGTTCAGGTTTTTCAGAAAAGTCTGATTTTCGCTGTGTGATTGGGTTTTTGGCACTTGAAAGTCTCTTTGTGGCTGTTATCTTTCGGTTTACGACCTCTGCCGTCGATTGCCTTGATTTGTGCTTCAGGAAGTCTCAATTGTCTTTATGCTCATGAGTCAGAACGCTCTTCTCTTCTCTTTCCTCCTGATCCTTCGCTCTCCTTCGCGGAAGCAAAACGGAATCAAACACCCAACGAAGCAGCTATTCATGTGGATGCAATTGTCGCCCGACTCGTCGATCCTCCTCGACAGACTAGACGTGGTATCACCATCAGTACAGAGACACTGGCAGACATCGAATCAATTTATTGTGAACATTAGCTGCCTCAGATCTCATTTCATCCTTTTTTCTGTCTTTCATACTCATTCAGCTAAGTAAAGGAGGATAAAAACGTGTAGATGTTATGGCAAAAAATCTTTTTGAGCTCGGAATCCAATGCAGCATCAAAAGTTACCTATACCAAATCATTTTCAGAGCTCTAGCACCTACACTTCGAGACTTAATCAAAAAGTAAGAGTCGGTTCTTCATGCAGTACCTCGTCAGCTTAGAAATTCGATATCTCGAGAACGGGTCAATATGCAATGGGATTTGAGTTGATTCATATAGAGTCGGCCATGGTGAATCCGAATATGACCTCGAAAAGTATTGGGAATAAGGAGGGAATTTCGAAATGAATTTTCAAAACTCCTAGGGTTTTCGAGTAAAATAATTTTAAAACTTCGTAGGGACATGATAGAGACCTCGGGCTTTCACCATTCGACTCACAATGAAGAGCTCTATATATGGTATAAGTTTCAGCTCGATTGGAGTTTACCTTTCCAAAATCGGTTTTTGAAAAACCCGTTTTTTGTCAAGGAGTTTTAAGAGTCTTCGCATCCAGTTAGAAAATTAAAAAGTGCATATTCTAGATCAGAATTTTATGCTCTTTCGAATGGTATGGGTCTCGTTCAATGCGGCAGATAGCACTGTATATCGTGGTAGTTTACCCACGGAACAGGCCATATGATTAGATCTCTATTAATGATTTATTTCATTCACAAAAATACGTCCCATACTTCAGTAAATGGTTGCCTACATAATGGACATATTTCTTCTTTTTGTCTTATTTGTTGTGCACATTCTGAACAAGTACACATATGTCTACATGGTATGAATATACAACTAACAGTTTCATTCATACATATACTGCTTAAATTTTTCTTCATCATGTTGTGGATCCTTTTCCTGTATACTATTATTATTATCATTATTTGTTCGTTGTCGTACAAGTGAAAATGGCATAACACAATTTTGTGTATTTGATGATGATGTTAGTGGTGCAGGTTTATCAGCTACGGAAAAATAACAATCTAATTCATTTGGTGAACCATCTTGACTATAAAGATATATAAAACCACCATTTGAACATGGTGACCATTCAGTTTTCCTATTACTAATTAGTTTTTCGTCTGGATTAATAAAACAATAATATCTGATTCCCAATTCAAGGAATGCTGAGATTGTTATATCCTTAAGAATGAAAAAAATACACATATATTAGAAACAAATATATATGACAATTGTTAAAGAGAAAATAACATCAAGCGAAATAAATCTTCATAGCAATTCACATAGCCTGTAACATACTTGAAATCGTCCTTGTTTCCAATAATGAACTTGTATATTCGTATTTCCAGCGATATGGACCATCAAATGTGAAACCAGTCGGTGCTTGTAACAAAGCATTTGCTTGAAGTGTTTTGTAAGTGTTATTTTGACTTTTAAAGTATACAAAACCACCTCTAATAAAAAAAAAATTAAAAATCTTAAAATTCACTCGTTTTTCTTAATATATTCACAACAGTATGTTAAGTTTACCAAATACTACATAATAACTATACTTACAATGCTAAAAATGTAAATTCGGCGTCATTTTGTGCAACTTTTTCAGTAATTAATGCTTTATCATTATCAGATAATTGTGTAAAACATGCTGGCTACGCTCCTGAAGGTAACGCAGTAACAAAAATGGTTTTTAAAGGAAAAGACATGCTCAACTTCTTTTCGATATTCTCTGTCGTTTTAGCATACAAATCTTCATATGAAAAAGTCACCGAAAAGAACGATAACGATGTCCTCCAAGCACGTTTTATAGACAAAGATCAAAGAAAAACGTGAGAGAAACTAATCGAGTTTTATATGGTTCGATCCAACTTGTTATCTAAATCATGAATATCAACTTTATTTTGTATAAAAAGCCTTTGCTCATTAAAAAAAAGAATTTTTCCCATCGTGAACTGTATGTGAGAAGGGAAGAAGATAACAGAACCCTTTGTTTTCTTTGTTTGTTTGACTACTTTATGTCTTCGACGGGCATAATACGTACAAACTTCAATATTCTATCAAACAAGCACTCAGGGGAATCTTTTACTCCACCGGCACTTAGTGGTATTTTTAGTACGTTCATGTGTAACCGTTGCGAAATCCTTGTTTTACCATCGTTTCAGTCTAGCAACCAAGAACAGAATATTCGTTTTACATTAACAAAAATATTTTAAGACATCCTCAGAAGTTTACTTTCTTCTGTCTTATTATTGATCAATAAAAGAACTTTGATCATATTAGGGAAAGGTGACTTTTTCATATCAAGATTTATATATTGGAACGATAGAGAATATGGAAAAGAAGTTGAATACGGCTTTTTCCTTAAAAATAATTTAGTTACTTCGTTGAGAGTAACGAAGTAACTAGATTAGTTACTTAGCTTATAGTAACTATATCACTTACTTTACCTGGTAAAGTAACGCCGAGTAACTAGTAAAGTGCCAGCCCTACTTTCAAATGAGACCGGCATGAAAGAAAGCGAATTTGACTTCAAAAACCGTAAAAACGAAAGGAGGCACTCTTTTATCGAAAAGTGTGTCAGCTTAGTCCCCTCGCTCTATATCTTTGATATCTAAGAAATTTAAAGTCTTAACATTTTTTATAACCTCAGTTTTCAAAGAAAATGAAACGAAATCATTTTTCAGAAGAAACTTTCTTGACCATGTCATAGCGATTCTCGGTGCAGTTACGAAACCTCTTTTGAATAGTAATGTGTATGTTTTGCTTTAAGACTTTTAACGTTATTTCCGTTATATTATTGACTTTCTTGGTTGATAATGTCAAAAACTCCAAATGTAGATTATTCCAAATGGGATAAAATTCTAGCTGAATTTAGCAGCCATGAAGAAGAAGATGTATATAAAAAGTATGGTCCCGGTCGTCCCGAGGATAAATATAAAAAACCAAAGCTTCCAAAATCAACAACTACCAAAAACAATAACAGTTTGACGGAACAACAAGCATCATCAACACCAACATCGGGTAACTACATGATCTAACATCTAACTATGTGTGTATGTGTTAATTTCTGTACTAGGAGGAGGCGAAGGTTTGGATGGTCGTAGATCGACTAATGTTCAGTTAAGGGCACTCCTTCCTCCTGGACGAAAAGCTTTCGGTGGAAAGGAATCATATAGCAATATAGAACAGAAAAAAATTCTTCAAAACGAGATTCAAAACGAGATTCAAAAAGCTACATTGGACCTAGTCTCTTCTATTTTCTTCCAGAATAAAACAAAATCCAGCATAGGTTTCCCACAAACCTTGGTATGAAAAGATAGCCAGTGAAAGGCTGAATAAAATACTCTTTGAACAATCCTTATACATCATTTCAACACCAAGAAATTGTTTTTACAACAGACAAATTGACCTGAAACGCGGTATCACGGATGTCTCAAGTACCTTTTTCACCATAAGCAAACGAGGATGCAACTTGTATTTGATATAGAAAGATAGCCCTTGATTTACTCTACAATATTCTATATAAAGAACCTTTAACCATTATTGACCGAGTCACTCATAGCTTCTACAAGAGACAAATTGTACATAGAAGAAGTTATAAATAAAGGTTTCTTTTTCTTTGTAGTAAAAAAACGTGTTGAAGTGCATGAATTTTGTCAAAATGAACTTTATTCGACGTAGGTTTTCTCCTTTATTTCAAAAATGTTTTATTCTGTTTATTCTCATTTACAAAAATGTTTTATTCTGTTTATTCACGGACACTGTATAAAAATGCCATGCTAGGACAAGTGACTTATACACCGCCCAATGTTGCAAGTTTCGATGCATTTGAGAATTTATCATCTCTTAACCAAACATCAACTCCATCACACAAAAAAGTCGACAAAAAAAGGCGAAAGAGGACAATAAGCTGCAAGCTAAGGTTGAGACGCTGTTCACAAATCTAAAAATGCCTCGGGATAGCAGAAAAAAATTTGTAATTCGGGTTTTATAGTTCGAAAGCACCGTTGGAACCGGGTTTTATAGTTCGAAAGCACCGTTGGAACCGGGTTTTATAGTTCGAAAGCACCGTTGGAAGAAATTAAAGGAATGACGGTAGGAAATCAAAAATTCTGTGGAAAGAGAAAAAATATGCCGATATCAATGTATTAATAGGCGTTTTTGTTGATTAGTGGTAGTAGAATCTAAAATTGTTTTGTACTTGTGCCATGTTCGAATTAGTGCCACCGAGTCAGTCACAGCACTAGTAAATATTTTATCCAGTAAGAAAAAACTCGGTCCAAAAAAGTTCTTTCACCCGATATTGAAAAAAAATCGATGGTACTTAAATA